GATTAATTTAGATATTGAATGAGGAAATAATGTTAGTTCCGGCTACAAGATGAAGTGAATGATCCGCAAAGCGTTACGAATTTAATAGCTTATGTCAAGTGTACATGTTTAACGCGTATGTCATAAAGACATTTGGAATATAAAAGTAGAAACTTCATTAATGCCCGCCTAGGTATTGGATTTGAACGATTATTGATCTGAGCCCTGCCCAAACCCGTTGCTGATTAATTTCTCGAGATCACGGAGAGAATGAAACGCCCAAAGCAAGATTAAAGAGATATGTATCAGCCGTAAAATTCATTCTTTATTCCTCTAGATCAGCGAAATGCTCGACAATGTCCGGTGGTTTACAATGCAAAAATCGTGTTACCGTAACCGTTAATTCACGAGTTTACACAATGTTTAATCCTTTAGTTTCTCCGTAAGTTCCTTGACAAATGACAGTCCAGTAACTGGTTCCTCATCCGTATACAAGCGAAATATGAACGAGACGAAAGAAAACGCTCAGCGCCGAGGTTTAACCGAGCCGGAATGAACCTCGGTAAAATCACGTGACCTAAATGCTCGGACGGACTGGTCCGATTACACAGGATAACCAATGTCAGAAACTGGCATTTACAAAATAAAATAGGTAAATGAAAAAAACAGACTTCAATCTGAAAGAAAAAGTTGTAAGCTTGATGTGTTCACTACGATTCCATCTCTGTTGAATAAGAGAAGGTTGTGAAAAATTTCAAAAACAGAACGAAGCCGGTATCAACCGATCTCTCTGGGAAAAAGTATTGTACTAAGGCTTTAAATGATAGATCTTCACGCCATAAGTCATCGAATTTCGTTGCTATTCGGATGTATCATAACAGCTGCAACTCTTTCATGAATCTGATCTTCATTATCGTTGTCATAACGACCACGACTGAATGCCTTTTTGAAGGCCTTTTTAAACTGCGGATTCATTATCCCATGGATGATTGGATTTACAAGACTACTGGAGAACAACAAATACACAGATACCTCAGTCACTTCGTGGGGAATGTAGCCTCCAACAGCAATTGTACTAGCGCATAAGGCGAAAGGAAACCATGTAATTAAATAGAAACAAACCACTATGAAACAACTCTTCAAAATATCGATGTCAGTACGATGGAGCCTTGGTGCGCCGATGCTATTTTGTACGACATGGGCGTTGACATTATCTGTGCTTTCTTTCACCTTCTGGTAAATTTTCCAATAGGAGTAAAATATTGTTAACGCTGTAACGTTGAAGATTCCTACATGCAGAATGAAAAAAGAAAAGTGTCCGTTCTTCAAGTCGAATGAGCAAAACAAAAAATCTGAGTTAAAGTTCATTTTTCCCCATCCGTACAACGGAGGTGTGGCAAATAACATAGAAGTCAGCCAGACGACACCGCAGTACACCCAAGCAACTTTTTTACTGGGAAAGAACTTGATGTACAAAGTTCCCTTGACGACTTTCATGTATCTATTCATGGCAATTAAGCCCATAATGAACAAGGAGGACGAACCCATTGTGTGTTGTAATGATGCAGAAACTTCACACCATTCCTGGCTCAAATTCCACTTTCTCGTGTACAAACTCGTTATCCAGAAAGGCATGTTAAGGGTCGCCGTGAACACATCAGTCAGTGCAAGATTGTGTATAAAAATGTTGGTAGTAGTTTGAAGCTCGGAGTATCTTTTTATAACATAAATAACCAGCACATTACCAAGTATGGAAGCGAGACACACCAGAATGGCGAAGGTTACCTCCAACGAAATTTCTGCTCTCGAGCGAGTTAAACAATCTTGGGAAATTGTTTGAGACATCCTCGTCTGTGACTCAAGCTGTAATATGTACTGATTAGAGGATAATAGGCTGAATTAAAAATCCATGTACCCCACGAAACGTCTTTCTCCTGACGAGAGAAAAAAAACATCTGATACCTCTCCTAGAAATGTTTGATCATTTTTTCTTACTTTCTAAATTTTCTTGATTTGAGCGCCGAGTAGTTGAGACCCATAGCTAACAACGTACAGTCTTCGTGACAGTGGAAAAAAAACCGTCAAGAATATATTCTTGTTTCTGTTGTTGTTTTCTCCCCTTTTTTTGAAAGGAGACTTCTCTAAATGGAGTCCCGCAAAATCTCAGGGTTGATGGTGTTGATGGGTTTTGTACCCTCGTTGTCAACAAATTCTTAAGGTAAATTTTTTAAAATTAGTTATTATCTCAAAGAATACTCACGCTTTCTTATAGTTCAGTGAGGCAGGAATGTCAAAATATCTTTGAACCTAAGAGAAAAACCTGGTTGAGACCTTTTTCAAATTTCACTGGCTCTACGTCAACTGAAACTGTAATCATGAAGCTATTGCAGCGAATGGGATGCTTGCTAAGATTTTCGTTTGAAGGTCGGTTTATATAAGGCTTTATTGAATTCAGAACATATTAACACAAGAGAGCCATTATCACTAATTTATTTTTTAAATTTATTTTTTGCCATAATAACTTCTTAGTGTTTCCTTTGTCTAAGCTACTGAAGCAAAGGAAGCGTTTGCTAAGATTTACGTCTGAAAGTTGACTGAAATACAGCTTTATTGAACTCGAAACTCATAGACACAAGAGAGCTGTTATGGCTGATTCAAATTCTTCATTTTTTTGTCGTAATCATTTGCTAGTTATTCCTTAGTCTGAGCAACTCCAGCAAAAGAGAATGACAGCTAAGGTTTCTGTATGAAGGTCGACTCAAATACGGCTTTATCGAATTCAAAACTCATAAACACAAGAGAGGCAGTATTCGAAACATATTTACGTAACCTGTTAACTAAACCATTTTTACTAATTTATTTTAAAATTAAAATCATTTATTGGCTATTCCTTAGTCTGAGCTACTTCAGCAAAGGGGAATGATTGCTAAGATTCCCGTATGAAAGTTGACTTATATCTGAGCCATAAAAGGCTATTTTAAAAGTTACCTTTTAGACTGTTTCAATTCTCAATGTTCAACTCACCTTTTCGAGCAATGCTGTTGATATTTGAAACCTTCGCTTGTTAGACCCTTAGTGATCCAAACTGAAACAGCATAATTAAAAATCTTCTTGTAACACACTAGTTTCTAGTCACAAGTCAACAACTAAGTGACAGCTGATGCTGGAGATGGGAAAAATCCTTTTATGAAAATTTATCCATGAGAAACATTCATATGGATGCAGCTGCAAGGCAAGTGGCCCTTCAAGGAGAACATTACACGCTTCTGTAGAATGAACTATAGAAGACAAAGCATGTACCAAGAAAGAAAATATTATAGGGGCCTCTATGGGATGCAAATTGATCATTTTGTTGTACCGCAGAGGTCATGGGTTCAAATCCCGTACGGGCCTGAATTTTTTCAGGTCTTATTTCAACTACTAGTTCAGTAGTGTTTATAGCTGCGAGGATCGCTTATATCTGTTTCTTTACCGCAGTGCACATATATGATTTTCATATATTTCCAATCATTATTCACCACTTGGAAGGTTTATCTGGATCCAATATAATAACAAGCTCCCAGTTGGCTTGTTAGCTCATTTGGAAGCTGCGCTGCACCGTACGGGCCTGAATTTTTTTCAGGTCTTATTTTAACTACTAGTTCAGTAGTGTTCATCGTTCAAAGCTTATATCTGTTGTTGTACGAGTGTTTTATGTGTTTCTTTCAAGTTTCCACATCACCTAGATGGTTTTTTTTAATGGAATCAATAATTATTTTGGGAGGCTACAATGGCTCTCAAAGTATTATCGATAATCCTAAAGGAAGCGGGCCTTAGCTAAATCGCATTAGGACCCTAATTATTATCATATTTGCATGTACGACCTCAACAAAATGCCTTAGCTCTTAAAAACCAGTTTGAACTGCAAATTTATAACCACGTAGATTTATTATAAGTTCAATGATGTCATCCAAATAAAGGAAAGTGTGAAACCAGATAGATTAAAATGAAATGGAAAGAAAACGAAAGAATACACATAATTAAATGAACAGTTTAGCTGGAATGGAGTCTTTTTGAGTGTTTGGAGCCGGTCTCTTCCTTATCAAAAGCATATGTTCTGTCATTGGTAAACATCTCTAGGACGAACACGATCAAAGACTGAACAATCTTCACAAGTTAATTTCTATCCTAGAGAAATGCCGCGGAAAGTTTGAGTGCCTTATTTATGAGATGCTTTTAATAAGGAAAAAGAAACCGACCCTGAACACTCAGAAAGACTCCATTCTAGCGAAACTGTTCATTTATGTATATTCTTTTGTTTTACTCCATCTCGTTTTATTCTAATTTGGTTTCACATTTTCCTTTCTTTAGATAGCGTCACTGAACTTAAAATAATTTCACATTTGATAATGGTGACATGTCGTCACCGAAACGTCATGTTTTAATCTCGCCACTATTTAGTATGAAATGTTTTTCTAAATCTTTCGTTATCAGAAACCAGAAGATAATACTCAATTGTGGGAGGTAATTGAAGGATACCACTTGATGTCATTTAGTTGGGAGCTCCCATCTTTAAAGAGTGAAAACTCTCATTTAGAATCGAAAGGATTAAATTGGATATTGAATGAGGAAATAATATTAGTTCCGGCTACATGATGAAGTGAATGATCTGCAAAGCGTTACGAATATCATTTAAAAAAAGAAAGGAACTACTTGAGTAAAGAAAAAATCACTTAGCGGATTCAATAGGTTATGTCAATTGTTTAACGCGTACGTCATTAAGACATTTAAAATATAAAAGTAGAAACTTGATTAATGCCCGTCTTGGTATCGAGTTTGAACGATTATTGATGTGAGCCCTGCCCAAACCCGTTGCTGATTAATTTTTTGAGATCACAGAGAGAATGAAATGCCCAAAACATTATTAAAAAATAAAATAAGAAAATACAAAAAGTAGACTTCAATCTGAAAGAAATAGTTGTAAGCTTCGTGTGTTCACTACGATTCCTTTTCTGTTAAAAAAGAGGTTGTGACAAATTTCAAACAAGACAGTAAATGACATGACACTATGTACATATAAGACTAAAAAGTACTTTCAATGGCCCAGTAGTTGATGATGAAAATAAAATGTGTTTCTTCATTTTCATGGCAATTTTTTAAAATTTTACTTTTGTTTTTTGACAGCTCTCGTAAGTCTCTTTTATGCTACTTTTCTCGTTACCATTTTCAAGCAATGGCTTAACGTACTAGCATTCTACGTTTGTACGTCAAGTTGTCAGCGGATTTCGAAACTGATGCAACAAACATTTCACATTGCGTAGGTCGATGATCGTTTACCAGAAAGATGGTTCTTGTGGCTGAACCACTTGCTTATCATTCAGACTGATTTTAAAGATACTGTGAACTTGTTGACTGAGTGAGAGAGCCAGACGGGAGATTATTTGTACTCGGGTCATGACACGCGGACCAAGCGGTTATTTATGGGATTTTGAACACACAGGTCAAAAGGGGCTTGAAAAGGGCTTTGTCATTTCATCCATCTGACTAGATTAATGCAAGGAATGAGGAAGGAAGAGAAGAAAAATAAATGAGGGAAACCTTAAGTGAGACCTTCTTGGTGATTAAGGCACCAACCATTTTGAGGGAACTGAACCAGCCTCGACGAGAACAATTAGTTTATATTATTCTACCGAGTAAAGGATACCGCCAAAACTTGTTAAATAACTCAAAGTTTGGAATGTATCGTTCTTTTCATGTTATCACAAAGTATATACTCAAAATGCTACATCAAAATATGAAGTACAAGGCGTTATGCAGGTAAAAATAGTAAAATTACTGTCCAGCTACGAAATACGATTATGCAAACTGAGTTTTTTGACATAATAAAGTGGTTGACTTAATTTTTGAAAACTTCATCTCACCGTGGGGGAAGGGATGGGGGCAGGATCACGTGCAAAGTATATCATCAAATGTAGTTGTATTTAAGACACTTTTCTATTGTCTCGACTTTTATTATTATTAATATTATTATTATTATTATTATTATTATTATTATTATAATCTATGAGACTGAATCCACAGTTCGAGAGGGCTTTGAGATTTTTTTCGTTCATACAACGAAAGTACTTATCGGACGAATTAAGGGAATGAAAAGGAAGAAGAGAAACGGCAAACGCAGAGGGAAACAGCAAGTGTGGCATAAATCATTTTGAAGCTTCTGAACCAACCTTAGCGAGAACGATTAGTATATCTACCGAGTAGAGAAGACTTCAAAACTCATTATAAGATTCAAATTAACACTTTATTGTTCTGTCCTTGAATATAAAAAGTCGATCATATTCATATTCTTACATCCAAGGTGGAAGATAGATGACGTAATACAGGTGCAAATGGTAAAGACATTGTCCAGCTGCCACCCGATATTTTGGGATGTTTGAAAAAGTTAGGTAAAATCTTTGTAATGCACAGACCATGGTAAGGCTACTTTGAATGTATCGTTGGAATCGAGTACGTGGAAAAAGCAGCAAGGTCAGGATTCCTCATCCCTCTTTTTATAAATAATGCCTTGAAGGCTGGCTTGAACTGAGGGTTCATCATTCCATATACGATGGGATTCAAGCAACATGCTAAGAACACAAGATAACTCGATATCATTAAAGGCAAAGATAATCCTTTTTTTCCGCCTCCCAACAAAAGAACAAGTATTGCCTTTGGGAGCCAGCAAAGCACGACCACGCAAGCTATGCCCAGTGTAGTATGAATGCACATGTTCTCGGCGTTATGAGCGTTTTTGCAAGCGGCACGGTTTGCTCTGGTGCAAATCTGGATTCTGTTTCGTCGAACAGTGTTGTAAATTTTGAAGTAACACCAGCAAATTATGTAAGGAGATGGTTGTATTATCGCAAGGAAGACCAAGTAGGAAACGTGTAGTCCATCAAATGACCATTCAAACGTACAGAGAAAAGACTGTGGGTAGAACTTATACTTTCCCCATCCATACAACGGTGGACTGCAGATGATGAGAGGCGCAATCCAACACAGAGCAAGAAGGATTTTTGGTCTGCTCTTCTTTGCGAAGAAAATGCCATTATACAATTGGGGTTTCACGACTTTGAAATACCTGCTGAGCGCAATGAGAAGCAACGAATAGAGAGTTGCATTTGCCATTGCAAAGAACAGAAACCCTGACACGTTACAAATGATATTGCCAAAGATCCATTGTCCTTTGATCAAGCTTGTGACCCATAATGGCATAATGAGTAATGTTTCGGCCATATCAACGAGACACAAGTTTGCAATTATCTTATTTGTGAAAGTTTTGAGGGTGGGGTTGGTCCTTATGACATATAGAACGATGCAGTTGGTTAAAATTGAGGCCAGGAAGATAATTATAGCTGTAAAGGACTCCAGCACAATTTCCACGCTATTTCGCCCCTGTGAATCTCCATTTAGCGATGAATTTTGGTTTTGTTGATCATTCATTATGGAAATGTCTTGTTTTTCGTTCCTATGAAATAAATTATGAAAGATTAAAATCAGAGAAGCGTAGCATAAATGTCGCAATATTGCACAAAGAAGTTAAGCTACAGGCCTACTGGAGAGGAGCAATGACAATGGAGCAAGTATACGTTGACTGAAACTAGATTGCTATTCATGCTGGAGTGTTTTTCATTCAGCTTGCGCCTGTCCCCTCTTTAATGAGCATTGTGGCTCCTTCAGCCGATGAAGCCTACGAGTAACTGCTAGAGTAAAGTGTTCCTGCTTGAAACCCAATGCAGGAGACTTCGGCTTTAATCTTCTCTGTGCACACGTACCATTACTTGAGCTCTCAACTTTGTTATATCTAGTTGACAATTGAATAATTACTTAAACTACGACAGTAACTGTTCTACTGTTTTTAGGTTTGAAAATCATTTTCCTCGGCAACACTTCTGACTCCATAAACAAGTGTGATCCGAAGAATTCAATTCTCTTGTTTGCATTATTTATTACATTTTTCCCCTGAGGCAAACGAAAATTGGCCAGATGATAAATAAATGTAGGTCGGTTTAAGTACTCGGGCAAGGTACAGAATATTTCTGAAGAAAATTAATCATGATTTCTTTTCCGTTCGTGTATGAGGTCAAGATATATGTGTCTAGGCATAAAGAAGTTATTGCATTGTCATACGCTAATTGGCAAAAACGGAATTCTTATTTAGTACACTTGCAGTATCCCTTATGTCAAGGAGAAACATGGAAAACAATTTCCTGTTTACAGTAAGAATGTATAATTACGCTTTTGGAAACGACTGAAAGGAGAAGATAAAATGTTTGACTTTTTCTCAGGTTGCTGTAAGAGTTACGCTCAAGCTCTCGATCAACTGTGTAATGAGAATGCTGAGCAGTAATGAAAAACCATGAAGGTTTAATAACAATCGAAAAAGTTCGTGACAAAACAATCAACCAACGTACCTTACACCTGAATGAATTTACAACTTTCGGATCTAGAGTATGTTGCGATTCCGCAGGAGAATGAAACCTTTCAGATCAAGACTCCATCAAAGGTATTTTCATAAAATGTTCAACTTCCCTTTTCGTATTACGTGAGTAGGATCGTGATCCGAGTTGACTCATTTAATAGGAGGAATACGCAATATGTGTTATTTATATGCAAATGTGATCCATTGTAAATCATACATGATGGAAGTTGAACACACATGTTTTATCCTGATACACTTAACCATGACCTTTAATCGTTCCAAAACACTGCGTTCGGGACCCTAACAAGAGGAGAAAGATTTATAAAAGATGTATTTCTCAGGCGAGGTAACCTAAATCCATGGTCTTTTCACCCTTTTGACCGATTTTCTGACCTTTTCACATCGATTTTCTTTGCGTGTGATTTGGACAGAGATCCACTGACATGTAGCAATCATAATGACCTGTTTGCTAATGATGACATCTTGAAATATAGATAAATGAAATACATGTATTTGTATACATAATTTCATCCGGCATTTCATCTTAAAGGAGAAAGAAGATGGCTGTTATGACCATGTCAAATGTTCAATTATTTTCACACGGATTGTTCAGAATTTCGCAATACGATAAAAGCGTAATGAACAACCAATTTTTATTATTTTGATTTATTTTGGAAATGTTACAAACACTCACTTCCATATTAAATCAGGATTTTTTCGATTTTCATTCATCAGATACCAAAAAAAACCTCAAAGTTATGATTTTTATCTCAATTTTGATTTCATCATTTGTAGTAGCGCGGACTGAATTTTCCCGGCATGCACGGCGTGTACGATGTAATTCAACAGATTTCAACTGAATAACTACTCTGTCCCAGAGTCCATCACGATTGAAATCGCTCTCTCTATGTGCTCGCACTTTGTTTCTCTCTTTCTGTTTTGCTTTCATCTTTCTACTTTTCCCCACTAAGTTCTCAAAGTTCGACTTGTATTATTATTAGAATCATTTTCAGAGGTCATCTTTGATGGCAAACTGATGAAAACAGCTCGCCCCGTTTTTTTCCTGATCGCTGTCTAATGGTAGGCACGATTATCATCACTTCGCCTCCCGGGAAAGAGTGGCTGTCAGTTTGAAGAAGGTGCACGTGCTCATTTCCCCGGTCAGTGGCTGGCAATCGAGCTTTCAATAACGGCTTCCTCGGCTTCCTCCTAACTAGAGCCTCGCTTTCATTCAAAGAAAAACGCAAATTGAAAAGAGGCTTTTTAAAATCATTATCATTGTGTCTTTGCCATTCAATTGAAAGCCATCGCCATTAGGGGTCAATTCCTTTATTGCTGTTTCAGACTTCAGGTCTATGATTTTAGAAACCTCAATTTATTGACTTAAACGTCCTTCTTGAGGAGAAAAAATTCCTTGATGTTTTTGAGGGACAAACTATCATAGGTCCCTAGAAAATAATGCTTTCTATAAACACCATCTTTAAGATCAATCGAAATTGAATCATCAAGACGTTTAAGCTACCGAATTTGCATTCATTTCAGTTTGTATACATTATGTGGTATTCAAAGATCTTTAGCCTTTTTACTTAAAGGATATATAAGTTGACTGGAATATAGACAAATCGGTAACACCTTTCTGTAGAAAAGCAGCTAGGTTGCTATGCGATACTGAACTTGAGTTTGAAAACCATGTGGTTGCCCTCGCGGGAAATACGTACTTTAATGGTTCGTATAATTTCCGTAATTTTCCAGGTGAGGGTTTCATTCATTTTGATACTTTATCTACAATTGTTAGGTTGGTTTTTTTTTTTTAGGCAAATTCGCTTCATTTAGGAGAGTGGTAAACAAAAATTCAACGGAAGACCCGTCAGCGCGGTTTTAACAAGCTGGCAAGCATATTGTTTGGTGATTTAGTATGCAATTGACTAGAAAACAAATAATTGACTACTTCTCAGCAAAATAAAGAAAAAATTTTCAATATCTATAGTGCTAATGAACAAAACCTGGCCGAAAAATACTGAAAGTGTGAAAGAGATTCAAGCGACTTGAATTTTCATGAATTATCGGAAGAAAGCTTTTCCTTCATGATTTATTTAACCCGTGATTAAATACAAACATTTCATTCTTATGAATATAATTAAAGTGCATATTGAAAGTTTCAAAGGATGTTCATGCAAAGGTGCAAACGTCTAAAGTAAATATGAAATAATCAGGCCATTTGAAAAATTACAGAACTCTAAAAAAAAGGGGCTTTTCTTGTACCAAAAAATTATTGATTGTTGAAATTTCTAACTTCATATAACAGACTCATTAGATATTCATGTTTGTCTAGCTGTGTTCGGTGTTTTCCATTACTGTTTAGATAAATTAAACATGTTCCATAATGAGACCAAAACACTATTTTAGTGCGAAATTACAGCATTTTGTAGGAAAGCTCAGTTAAAATTACAAGCGCAGTTTAAGCGTTGCTATGACACTTTTTTCCAACATCATGCTTTAGATAAGCTAGGGAAGTGCATATTTAAGAAAGATCCTAAACAGATTAATATTGGTCTTCTAAATATTATCCTTCTGAGTAAAGAGCTGCTACTCCAATTGCTTGAACAAGCTCTGACTTCTTATAGTGATCAGTAAACTACAGCTATATGCTTTTAAAATGATTAAAAATATTTAATTCTCTAAACAGAGAGATAAGAAAGGCCTCGGCCCTGGCAATAGAGATTGCTCTGCTCTGGCTAAAGAGATTGTTGTGTCTAACATGAAAGAATAAAGCGTTTAACGATATGGTTGAATCCCGTTATCCGGTCTAGGAAAATGCGTCATCCTTACCTCCATGTTTAGCAAAATGGAGGTAAGGGTCCCCAAATAATCAAACTCAATATTGAAAAGTTATCAAAACAGGTATTAAAATAGCTTTAGTTCACAAAAGGTTTTAATGCAACGGTCAAGAATCCTCAGAAATGAGAAACCAGAACCATCTCACAATGCTTGTTCGCTTTATAAAAATTTTCATTTTTGCAAAAGAACTGTTCTTTATGAGATGACTCACGTTAGCTTAGCATTTTTCAGCCCTTAGGTATCGTGCTTGAGCCATAAAGAGTGATTTAAAAAGATCAGAGTACTCATGTTTGTTATGGTGTAGTTTTTGATAAACGAAAAACCTTACAAAAATAAACAATTTCTGTGAAACTAGATAAAATTAAAATGCTCGGTATGTCTTAAACGTACTGAACTGACTTTAAAACTGCTTTATGATAAAAATGGTTATATAACAGCACGACTCTTTCTGTTTCGTGTTCTTCATTCAAGTTCCAATTTCTTACCTTTGTCTTTGTTGGATTTGTTAAGTTCCAAGCCAAAAGTTACTGATGTGACCAAATCCTTAAGCTTGATTTGCGAAATCGCCTGGTAAACTTTCTGGTGCGAAGACAAATGCATGGACTCCTTCAATGTTGGCTAAAACTGTCACGTCCCCCATGTTTACTCAGTTGAAAGCGGAACTTCAAAAGCACACATATCGATTACTGTCTTCTCTTGATTATTCGGTATAATTATAAATTTGCTCCTTCTTTCATGCTTATTAGTTTGCTCATACACCAGGCAGGAAATTTAATGTAGACTGTGAGTTGCAAATAAGTTGCGCAAGAATAGGCAAAATTAAAATCGGAAAAGTGGAAATTGTAAAGAGGGAATTTTATGAGAGCGGTGCGTATGAAAAAGATTGTGAATACCACCAGCAGTTAAGGCACCTGTTCTTTAAAGTAAATATGATTGCAAATTTGCCCAAAAAGAGAGAAAGAAAGCAAATATAATATAGGTTCCTTTCGCATTGTTAATTTTTGATGTTTGGTGCCAAACTACTAGACACAAATTAAAATTACTCAACGTTTTCGAAGAAGGCGCTGCGACGGGGTGTACTTTTAAAAAATAGTTTTGTTACTGAAGATGCTACAAATTGAATACCTTTTGCAAGCTATTGCAGTGAGTTTGATACAGGACTGTTTTGTAGGTCATCATGGTAAAGGTAAAGCCATTTTCATTAGAAATTTAGTCTGGAATTTTCCCTTTTGCCGTGTTATCTTGGTAAAGGCAGTGAAAATGTGCTCCACAGCTTGAGTGAGAGAAATTCAATCCGCATAGACCCTTTATCATTCCGGAAAAAAGGAGCCTTCGTTTTTCTAAATTTGAAAAGGAAGTTAATTCCTTTTGGTGAGCTTTCGCGTAAAGTGGAAGACTGTCTTTGGATCAAGACGCCGCCCTTCTATAATCAGTAAAGATTTGAAAAGTTTACCTGAGACTGCTTCTAAAACTCGACTGATTTCTGTTCCGAATTCAATTTATTCAAGACCATTGATATTCAGATGAATGTCTACTAGCACTTTGTCTTCAGAGATCTGTCATTATTCAGTGTGAAATTTCTCACTTTAACTGGAATATAGAATTATGATCGTTACTAACGCTAGAGGGTTCAACTTTTAGCGGACGAAAATATCTTCAGCTACAGTATCACCAGTAGTTTTTAAATCTTTGGGAACATGGATGTTACATTTTTTTTTTTTTCAAAAATTTTAAAAATTGAAAACAAATTGATTGCTCTTGGAGCTTAAAGAAAATGGCCCCTAGGTACAATTAATCGTAGAATTCTAGAGGGAAAGAAAATTTGTAATTTGACTAAATTTATCAACAGCTGGGAGTACGTACCGCGAACTGAAATTGTTCCCGACCATTCATTGCCACAGTCAACATCTTAAGTCCACAATGTATTGGGGAGGGATTCACAAACCAAAATACATACCGCCCACAATTTTCATCAAAACGGAAAGAACCGCGTGAGCCTAATGGTTTAAACTGCGGTAAAATGACGAAACTGGCGAGTATCAGAAACCAGAAACCCCTTGATCGAAAACAAAACAAAACAAAAAAACAGCAAGCCAGGAAAGGAAAAACCGAACACCGAAAACCGAGTTTTTTCAAGTGCAAAAACCGAAATTGATCGCTATAACCGACACACTCAGTCTTTACATAAAGTCATATGACATAGGGTGAAAATACAGAAGTTAAACAAGGAAGCAATTTGGAATTTAATGAAATGCTAAATATATTTGCGGAGGTAAAATACTCTCACGAAACTTCAGCTGCCATCAAATTTCATGTTACAACAAAATTGCTCTTGTACTGTGCAAACAGGAGAAGTGTTTCCTTACCCCTTTAAACCTTAAGAGTGACCAGTATCTAATTTCTCCTTACAGTAATACTACTGAATCATTCATTGAGGTCATGAGAATAAAAGAAATGATCACCAACTTAAGAAGCTTTAATTCTCAAACAAATTCTCTTGGTCTGTACCACAGGAAATGTATAGAGAACAGTATGGAGAATATAGATACTGATGTTTGGGTGTAAAGAGTTTATGACTCATGATGAGCTTGTCACTTGTGTGACCATTTTTCTCTTAATGAAAAGAAAATTGTTTTGTGCCCATGAGCCATAGCACAGATTCGAACATTGAGAACTTTCTCGAATTTATCAAAATTGGGACTCGGAGACGAGAAGCGAGCTTCGATTCACTTTTAAGTGCACTTCTTCCAAAAAGAATTTGTTATAAATGGTAAACATCGAGTCAATGATGGAGAATTTTTCGCAAATTTGATAAGTAAAGGTAAGTAGTTATCGTATATATAGAGAGTCCATAGACTATTGTAATGGTTGATTCTTAAGAGTCTGGATGAGAAACCAGTAAGGCCAGGCTATAGAAAAGTGAAGAATAGAGACGGAGATTATAATTTTCATATGAGAACGAAGTGCCATGAAATCTGAAGTTCTTTGTGTGCAAAGGAATATGAAAGTGTCAAAGAGCCATTCCTGAAAGATCCTGAGATTTTATCTCAACCTTGCAATTCTGAGTTTATTCAAACTACTCAAGTTTTCGTTGGATTTACCGAACTAGTGCTGTTACTGAGAAATATTTGGAAACTTTCATGAAAATATTTTCGTATCAAAGTTCATGTTAACCATATTTAGTGAAATAATTGAAGTCGTAAGTTTAGTGGTCTGGATCGTCAAAACAACGGCTCTCCTAAACTACAATACTTCCGTTCTGAGAGCTTCTTCATGCCACAAAAAACCCAAATGGAGGCCATTCGAGGCTATTAAAAATTCATTAACCACAGATTACCCCCAACAGCCTTTTCAGTATTAAAAGTGATGGGCAGTTTATCGGTCTAAATTTTTCTCGAAGGTCGTTTTGATCTTCAGTGTAAGTACATCGGTAACTTCAAAGAGTTTTTTCATTAAAATCAGAGGCTAATTTACAGGTGTGAAAAAATTCATTGATCATTACGAACAACTTCTTTGCTACTGTCACCGAAAAAACTTTAATATTATGCTTAATTGGCCTTAGAACGAATGATGTAATATTTCATTTCGGGTGGAAATTGTTCTAATTTCAATTTTTTTAAAAAATATTTTTTAGCGTATCTTGAGGCCGTTCTGTTATAGAACGAATTACGAACGCGACAGTTCAACTACGAACAAAGGCGACGAGCGTCGGAAAAACGAACCACGAAACTAAGTACGATTTT